TATTTATACAGAGTGTGTCAGAACTCGCGCCCCAAAGAAAAAATTCAAGTAACATAAGATATCAGGAACATAGAAAAAATGTCTGTCAAAAAATTTAGACATTTTTGAACTTTGACATTTTTTTAACTCTATTTATTGATAGGTGCTAATAATCTTGTATAAGTTTTTTTTTAATAATTATTAAGTAAAAGTACAAAAAAAGCTACAAATAACATTAAACAGAGTTACAATTTAGGATACAGCTTTCTGGTTTTTTCTTCTAGTAGCCTGTGGCGAAAACTATTTTTCCAACTGAAATAAATAAATTCAAAATGCAAAATTTAACTTCGAAATATTTATAGATATCATTTTTTTAACATTTTTTCCATGTTTCTGATATCTTACCTTACATGGCATTTTTCTCTTAACTTGAATAAGAAGGACCACATGGAACTTTCCTCATTTTTACCTTACAATCATCTGACTTATCTAAATTAAACAACACATTGTAGTAAACTTTTAAAAATATTTACTTAATACTGTGTCAATTTTTTTATTTCTTTTAGGTCATTAATTTTAGGTTGTTTAAAGATTAACCTAGAATGTTAGATAAAATGATAAATATTGAATGGTATTTGTAGAATTTACAGTTGTCATATTTTCTTAAAGATATGTAAAAATGTACTTACCTAATTCAATAATAAAAAGTAAAGGTGAAACTAGTTGACTTTATATTTAAATTGATTTTACTCAAAAACGATAAGTTTTATAAAAACAACACAAGAGACTTCTTTTTTTGTGGGAGACTACGAATTTAGAATTTTGTTGCCGAAAGTGGCAAGAAAATACAGCAAAAATAGTTAGGGTACTTTTTATCATATAACCCCCAGTTTGAGACAGTTTTTCCATTGCAGAATAGATAAAATTATAAAATTCAGTACAACTTTGTAAAAATCAAAATAATTGCAGAGCTTGGGGATTAATAAAAATGTAACTAAAAAACGTCATAAAGTGAATAAACCTTAAATTTCATTAGTTACATTGTTATTAATTCCCAAGCTCCACGAAAGAAAAATTTATAAATTTCGAAAATGTAGAAATCAGAGGCGTCCTAAACAGAAGGAGTTAGAGGTAAAACAAATTTAATTTTAATTTTTTATGGTTTTTAACATAAATTTTAAACTGCTTTTACTCATAAACAGTATTAAAAAACGCAAGAAACCTCTTATTTGTGAAAAAAGGTAGGTACTTTATACCCTCACTTCAAAATTTTATTTTTAGATTCGTTTAGATGTAACGGGTGTTTTTTTTTAAATTTAGCGTCAAAACTATCCATGAAAGTTCAGTTGTGATCGGACCACGGTATTAAAAGTTATTAATTTGACATGTGACACCTCGCCGGCACCGGGCGTATTAAAAATTGTGGTCCGTTTACAACACACTCATCTCGCCGCCAACTATGTCGCCAAACTTAAATAAACACCCGTTATAAAGGTTATCAGCTGTAGCAAATTTTGTAATTTTATCTAAAATGAATTCTGAAATATTGGAAAAACCTATTAAAAAACGCATCCTTTTCAGAGAATGTAGCTCCTTTACTTACAATGCTTGTTCATAGAACACTTATGTCATAAAATTGAATGTTCTATCACCTGTTTCAATTTGTAACAATCAAAATGGAACACTATGTATTATAAGTTTTTATTTTTGTTGCACTCTCTCTAATCCTAAAACTTGAGCACGCCTATGCTTCCAGATGTTTTAGATTGCAATTGGGTCATTGCACATGTTTTTTACTGCATATTCTGAAACTTTATTAAAAAATTATTGACCCATGTTTTTTTTTTAATTCATAATTTTAGTACAAAAAAATATATGAAAAATTCGTAAGAAATAAATTCAAAACGCGCGCATTTTATTTGCTGTGAGGTATAATCCAGCTTGAATGTCGGTAATGCAGATTGCAGGTCTGTTTTAAGGTGATATTTCGGTGTTTGTTTATTTTAATATCTGTGTTCTGTGAATACACTAGTAATTATGATGCCAAAAATGTCACTGCACTGTTGTCAGTGCTTTTGGGATTGTTACGTAGTAAAGCGGGAATTTTTCTTGGGTTTAAATTCTACCCCAAACTTAATAATCGAAATTATTATTTCAAACTCTTCCAAGTTAATTTTATTGTAAGGTAGGTAATCTCTAACGTATAAAAGTAAAAAAAAACTCCGATGGATGCAACACACTATATACAGGTGCGCCAGAACTCGCGCCCCAGAGAAAAATGCCATATAAGGTAAGATACCAGGAACATGGAAAAAATGTTAAAAAAAAATATCTATAAAAATTTTGAAGTTATGAGGGTTTAAAGTTTGCACTTTGACTCTATTTATTTCTGTTATAAAAATAATTTTCCAACTTTTTTTGCTGTAGGCTATTTAAAGAGGAAACAAGGAAGCTGTATCCTAAATTATAACTCTTTTCAATGTTATTTGTGGCTTTTATTGGCAAAATTTTTGTCCCTTTACTAAATAATTGTAAAAAAACATATACAAGATCATCAGTATCATTAAATAGATATAAAAAAATGTCAAATGTCAAAAAATAAATGTCAAAATTTTTTTACAGATAGAATTTAAAAAAAAAAAATTTCATGTTCCTGGTATCTTACCCTACTTGAAAATTTTCTCTGGGGCGCGAGTTCTGGCGCAGCCTGTATACTTAATAAAAATAGCAAAAAATCTTAAAATTCTTAGTTTACATACACTGTATTTCAATAATTTTTTATCCACAATCGCTCTACCTAAAGAGACTTTATTCCACACTTTAGATGCGTATCAAGTACCACTTTATCCACTAGTGGAATAAAGTAACTTTATTCCACTGTTAGTAACCAGCGCACCGTGTAACAGCTTACTACGTTTAACTGGCGTGACGTTTAAATGTCAGTTTAATTTTTAATTAAGTTTAGAATAATTTGGGCCTGTGATTGTGGATAAAAAGTTATATTGCAGTCCTGTGTCAGTCGCGTTTTATCCACTTAAGAAAATTAATGCTATCTAACACACTCTTACAATAAATAATTATTATCCACAATCACTCTATAAAAAGACTTTATTCCACACTTTAGATGCGTATAAAGTACCAGTTTATCCACTAGTGGAATAAAGTTACTTTATTAGTATTTAGTAACCAGCGCATCGCGTAACAGCTTACTACATTTAACCGAAACCACATTTGGCGTAACGTTTAAATGTCAGTTTAATTTTTAATTAAATTAAGAACTGACGTTCGCCCGGTTAAACATTCTCGCGTGGATAAAACGCTACCTAACACACTCTTAAAATAAATAACTATTATTTTGAAAAATACAGAAATTTTATGTAAGTGTTATTTTAGGATTTTATTTTATCACATAGGATTTTCAATTCGTTGGACTAGTAATAAAATAAATTGAAATCCGAATTACAACCCTTATAATATATTTGAAGGCTGTTACAGCGCCACCGAAGACTCGCAGTGCCCCCCCAACTCCACCTACTATAACAAGCAGTGCACCCTCGTCGACGAAATCTGCAAATCCTACAACTTCGACGGCGCTTCAAACCGGACTTTCTGCTACAACGCCACTTCCACAGTCCACATAAGCCGCGTTATCAACCGAACTCTCGCCACTTACGAGTACTTCCGCGACTACGTTTTAGCCATAAACGACGCCACTTGGGACAACTTCGGCGGTCTCCACTGGCAACTCCTCCTCTGTCTACTCCTCTCCTGGATAATCGGTTATTTTTGTGTCATTAAAGGCGTCAAAACCTCCGGGAAAGCTGTTTATTTCACTGCTCTTTTTCCCTACGTCATTCTGACGGCTTTGGTGGTCCAAGGGGTTATTCTTGAAGGGGCCATCGATGGTATCCTCCTCTACTTGACTCCCAAATGGGAGAAGTTGCTAGAGGTCGACGTGTGGGCCAATGCTGCGTCTCAAACTTTTTATTCTTTTGGTACCGGTTGTGGATCTTTAGTCACTCTAGCCTCTTATAATAATTTCAACAATAATTGTCTCAAAGACGCTTTTATTGTCACAGCTACGAACATATTTACTTCAGTTTATGCCGGATTTGCGATTTTTTCCATGTTGGGCTTTTTGGCACACCAGATGGGAGTGCCGGTGGAAGATGTTGCCCAGGATGGGCCTGGTCTAGCCTTCGTGGCGTACCCTGAGGCTATTTTAAGGCTACCAGCACCCACAGCATGGTCTCTTGCCTTTTTCTTCATGTTATTTATTTTGGGACTGGGGAGCCAATTTGCAGGAATTGAGGCTATAAGGTGCCTCATTTTGGACAAATGGCCTAAATTGAGGAAACACGAAATTTATATCACTTTAATGATCTGCTTATTTTGCTTTATTCTTGCAATTCCCATGTGTTTCAATGGTGGCGTTTATTTGTTCACTTTGATGGAATGGAATACCGCCTCATGGGCTATACTTTTGATCGGCATGGGCGAAGTTTGTGTGGTATCTTGGTGCTATGGTTGTAATAAATTTCTGGACAATATGGGACAAATGGGAATGGTACTATCAAAACCGGCGCGATGGTACTGGTGGATTTGTTGGGTCGTGATAACCCCTGTCACTCTTTTGGTATTTTATCTTCAAAAATGGGCTACAGAATTGACTAATCTTTTCCAGGGCGTTTTTATTTTCCAAATGTCAAATATGACTCCAGCAACGTACGAGGATTACATTTTTCCATTATGGGCCGATTTGCTGGGTTGGATGATGGGTTTGTTGACCCTAGTACCATTTTTTGTACTAGTTGTTGTGACAATTTGGAAACGGGATTATGTAACGAGACAAAATTTACGATTTTTGGGTTAATCGTTTTGTTTCAGACCGGATGGAATCTTATCAAGCCAACAACAAAATGGCGACCCCAAATTGTCAAAACTGAGAGTAATTTGACTCTCACTAAAGAGAAACTGTCACGAGACAATTCTAGTACTAGTGTTAATGGACTGTGATCATGTAGTATAGAATATTTTTATTTATTTGACATTGAACAATAAAAAATATATGAATTGTTTTAGTTTACTCTTAAACGTAACATTGGTGTGTTTATCCGAATTTTCGGTAGTCCCTCAAAGAGTTTACTGTATGGTAAAGGTGAACCAGTTTCCAGATAAAAAGCTCCATAGGCATCTTTGGGCACTTTTTCACCCATAATCACCTTCCGGTTCTTATTACAAGCCAAAATGTGGTACTCTATGGAATTTCGGCACGAAACCGCCTCATATTTTTTCCCAGAAATGGACTCAAGGTAGTACTCAAATGACTTAAAATGACTACAACCAACTGAAACAACCAATGATATTTGAAGTCATTGGAGAAGTGATACTTACAAGATTCAAAAATATTGACTGGATCAAAGCAATCGGGTTGTATGGGCCCCCCATTTTCGACATAGAAATCAGCAGAACCTATATTATCACTCACCCCCAAAAACCCGGCATTTGTGTGTATCACATCAACAAATTCGGCGTCATCTTTGTTCAACATTGAGTCGGTACTTCTTTTAACCGGTACTTCAAACATGGGTGCCGCCACATCCAATCCGGTGATTCTCCCCACTTTCCTCCCGGTCTTCTCGGCCACTCGCTTGCCGGCGAATCCGGCCACGTGACCGCCGAGGGAGTGGCCAATAATGTGGATATTCTCCAACAATTTCGGGTCTTTCTTGGTTATTTCGAGGATAAAGTCGCCAATCACGTGTCCAATGTCCTTGGTGCTGCTCGAAGCGTGGACGTAGACCTTTTTCGCGTGTTCGGACCAGTCGACTGCGATCACGTTGTAGTCACCAGTCTTATGATACGTTTCGGCCAATTCGCTGTTCTTCTCATCAGTACCAGAAGCTTGCCATCCATGGACGATGATTTTCGTGGGTTTGGTTGCCTCGATTGTGGGTTTCTTAGGGTCGAGGATAACGGTTTTGTTTTTTGGAAGGTGCAGGATAAATGTTATGTCTTTATGGGAGACGTCGTGGAAGTTGAAGTTGTCAGCTAGGTTTTTGATTTCGTTGGAAGTCACGTCGAAAAGTTGCGAGAGGAAGGCGTCCAAAGTGGGCAGCGTTGGAGGTTGGGGTGGTTGTAGGTTTTTCAGAAAGTCGAACTGTGACTTACTTGGAGCGAAGATGGAAAAAGTGAAGAGAATTAAGAGTTGTTTGCACATGGTGTTGCTTGAATGACTAATAACTTCTTTGTGCAATTCAATCTTATAATTTTACTATAATTATGCAAAAGTGCGTTACATTCACATCTTTTTGCATAAAACTGAAGGTTGTTAGCTTCAAGGCTTAGTGAATTTTTCTCGATCGAAAGTGTATGAAAATCGTAGGTATTCGAATAATTTCTATGGGTTTACAATATTCAACTTGTCGAAGCGTTTTTGTAAAATTCAGATATTATTATACAGGGTGCGCTAGAACTCGCGCCCCAGAGAAAAATGTCATATAAGGTAAGATACCAGAAACATGGAAAAAATGTTAAAAAAAACTTTATCTATAAACATTTCGAAGTTATGAGGGTTTAAAGTTTGCACTTTGACTATTTATTTCTGTTGGAAAAATAATTTTCCAGTCTTTTTTGCTATAGGCTATTAAAAGAGGAAATAAGGAAGCTGTATCCTAAATTGTATCTCTGTTCAATGTTATTTGTGGCTTTTATTGGCAAAATTTTTGTCCCTTTACTAAATAATTGTAAAAAAACATATACAAGATCATCAGTATCATTCAATAGATATAAAAAAATTTCAAATGTCAAAAAATAAATGTCAAATTTTTTTGACAGATAGAATTTTTTAAACATTTTTTCATGTTCCTGGTATCTTACTTTACTTGAAAATTTTCTCTGAGGCGCGAGTTGTGGCGCACCCTGTATTTATGTAATTGTTCCATTAGATTACATATTTCATTTTGTTTCATTGCTTGAATTGATGGGAATTTAATGTTTATGATGAACCTACAAAGGTTGCATGTACCTAATATTGCTTTCAATCATTTATTATTCAAGTTCACTTAGTTGAAATCGATGCTTATTTAATGGTATTTTAAGAAAAGTTTGTCGAGGAAATAATAAAAATGAAATAAAGACAACAATTTTACCCTAAATAATTTTATTACGAATCCCTATAACACCCCTTTCTTATTAAATCAAAATTGTAGAAAACTTAGTTAGTGATTAGTAAAAAATTTTGTGCAGTTTTGTAATTATTTATTTGTATTTTTTCACCTTCCTTTATTCAATCATAATCTAACATCAAAAATCTTTGGTCTACAGATCTATTTTAATAAAATGCATCAAATTACTGCTTAAATTTTCGAGCTTAATATTATTTTTTTTTAATTTCTGCCTTTCTCTTAAACTGGCTGGATTATAAAAAAACGCAAACTATAACTTCATTAATTTAAAAATATTACTATAGGGGAGAGTCGGGGAATTGGGATCACTTAACTTCTAAAGCTCAAAAATAATAAAAAAAAATATAAATGAAATCAACTTTTATTGCTACATAAACTTTGTTTATTTATATTCTTAGTTGTCAAATTTTTTATAACCTAAGTTTCACTAAAAATATAAACAAAAATAAAAAACATTGTCGTTCCTATTTACCCCATACCCTATGGGGGAAATGGGAACGGTATGGGGTAATGACTTAATTAGTATTTGGTAGCAGTTTGGGCCAATGTGAGCTTTTTACTTTTAACATCTTCGTTTGCGTGCGAAGATTTTCAATTTCGTATTTTGATTTAGTCTTTTGTACGTAATTTCGAGGCATCTGAAACAATTTGTAAAGTGTAAACATTTTTACACAATCAACCAGCAGCACTATGGGTAATTAATAGGGCCAAGATTTTTGAGCGAATTTCAAAATGAATGGTTTAAATGTTTGATGTTACGGCGAAGATATTGTTCCTATAAAAAAAATTCAAACAAAAGTTGTAGTAGGAAATTTAATGTTCTACAAAAAATGTCTCTTGTGATTTTTTTATGCGACCAATATAATCACCATAATTCCAAAATTAAGATTCATAATGAATGATTTAAATTTTTGATAATTACTTCTTTGAAAAAAATTGAATAGCTTATTGTAAGCAATTTTTTGGGGTAGACGCTCAATCTATATAAATAGATGACAAGAAACTGTGCACTTTTCCAAGAAGTATCGTCATATCTTTAAAAATTATGAAGTTATGACTTGGGGCGTTTTTTATAATTATAGAATCTAAATTACATACAGGCTGAAAACAGTAGTATGTAGTTAGTTTAGTTTTGCCTTTGCCTATACATAATCATATTTTTTCTTCAATCCCAATTCCACAAAGTTAATTCGAGTTTGTCTTCAAAGCTCCCAATATTTCAGTCTTCTTTAATTACACTCAATCTAATTCCTATATTTTTAACCTTTGATGGGAGAAACTCAAACTGACTTCTTTGTTCATAATTATGACTGAATTTTTCAGTTTAATGGTTTTTTCAACTCTAAAAAATAAGTTTTTATTAGTAATAGTATATTTAGAAGAATGGCTATTTTAATCATCACATACTCTTAGTATTGCTTCAATTCCTTTTATTCTTCGTCTAAAGTGCTCAAACATTCCTCAATCGACAAAAAGCCCTGTTTTCTCAACGTTGATTTCAGATTATAATCATCATAAACTAAAACAAAAAAGACACCAAGTAAAATCTTGAACGAAAAAAATTCTCTTCACCTGTTTTATGTTTTATGCGTTTGGCGCTGTTAACGTACACTGATAACAATCAGTTTATATCAAAAATAAACATTTTTCAACAATAAATTATTAACCTCCATTTGGATTTGGTCTGAACTTGACAGTTGACAGTGACAGTATATTGACAGCCAAGCAGTATTGCAACTTGCAACAGTTTTTCCATAACTAAAATGGAAAAAACCAAAATAGTTTTTGACAACAATCAAAAATATATTTATGATTTTATATTTCAATGCATACATTGCGTTTTAATAATAAAGTTTATTAACTGATCTACAATAATTTACACTTGCGCACATACAAGGGTGAATATTTGGTTGCATAGACATTTTTGTTGTAAAGCTGTTTATTGATCTTTGTTTGAGTTTTCAAAGTTGATAAATTCGCATACATGTATTGGGCCTTTTTACATAAAAAAAAACTAGAACTCTAAAAAGAATAAAACTATTAGAAATTACAGGGTACGGTATTTTCGTTTACAATAAAGACTCTAACCTATCTTCAGACGCAATCCAAAATACATTCTCACAGATAACTTGGCTTCTGTAGTGTTTGAAATATTCAGACAATTAAATTTAAATCAAAGTAGTTGTTGATATGTCATTCATTAAATTTGACAGTGTCATCAATTCCACATTTTTTCCCCTTGAATTCAAAATATACCTACTCAAACGATGAAGAAACTGAGATAATCTTCAATAAAAATAGTTTAAGGCTATGTCAGATAGTTATGTTTATAATTATAACTTTAAAAAATATTAAACAGTTTATCAATTAACGCATAGTGGTATCTGATAATGTATTTTGAGTTGCGTGTAAAATTCGATTAGGGTCTTTATTATATGTGACTCAGCCTGTATGTATAAGTACAGAGTGATTTTAATAGTTGTGCAGAAATTTTAAGAGATGATAGTACAAATCTAAAGAAGTAAAAAAAATGCAATATAAAAAAAAGTTTGCATTTTTTAAGTACTTAATTCCAAAGTTTACATTTCTAAGTCGGTGACATTTGAGGTACCTAATGAAATTAGAAATGCGGTGACAAAAAAATTGGTGCAAAATTTTTACCTCTAGATATAATTCCTTTCAAATTTTTTTGACGTGAGGAAATATTTATCTGTTTTAGCTACTTTTAAGTGAATTTTTTAACAATGTAATAAATTTTGAAGAACTAACTTTAGAAATCATTTTTGTTTACAATTTTTGTTGTTAAATTTGCCACATTATATTTTTCTGTTAGCAAATGCTTTCTACAGGGTGATTTACAAGAAATAATGAGCCTGACCAAATTTTTTATTTAACCCACATTACAGTTGTCGCAAAATAACTAATAGTGGTAATGGTGGTTGCATCGAGAATTTGGTCAGGCTCATTATTCCTCGTGAATCACCTTGTATATGTTAGAAATTATAAACATTCAAATAAGGCAAGTAGAGTTTGTTTACACCTCGTAAAATTTCTTCACTACTATTAATAGGACCCCTGTATAAATTAATTAATTACTTTTATTCTTCGACACTAACAAAATTTACGGTTTTTCTCCCGTGTAAGGAAGTTTTGACAACTGTTTGGCATTTCTCAATACGAAACGTCAGATTATTTTTAACAGATTTGAAGCAAGTTTAAGCCTTATTGAGTCTAATTCGAAGAATAAAATGTTGTATTGAACTCGTTTGAATGTAAATCGGACGCTTTATTCCACCTCGTGGATGATAAACCATTCGTTACACTCGTGGTTTAATAACCCACTCGGTGAAATAATCCGTTCGATTTAGACTCAAACTCGTAGAATAAATAACTAAATTAAATACGATATAAACCAATTTATAAAAGGTATTGTTTTATTACAATAATTTTTACATAAAAGAGTGTTTATAACAACATCAATGTACCAACTACGTATACAGGGTGTTTCACGTAAAACATTCCAAACTTTTTATTTTAGAATCACCCCGTTTAAGGCAATTGAAATATAACGATTTGAAAACAAGTTTGTAACAAAATACGACTTATTATGTTATTGTAAAATAGTTAGCAATCTTATTATGAGAGAGTTGCCAATCTTAAAACAAAAATCACAGCCAACTCTAACATTACAAGAAAACTAGAAAATACAATCCATTTACTACAAACTAACATTTATTATTTTGATGGTAGAAATTTGTCTTATACAAAAATAACCCAAAATTTATTTTTGTAAGAATACAGAGTGTTTCAATAATTTGTAAGTGAGATAAGTACTAATTAATAATTGGGTGAGTTAGCGAATTGTATACAGCGTGATTATGATGAAAGTGTGACGCGTGTAAAACGCTATTATTGGTTCAAGTAGAATAAATAGAAAACAAGTGTTTATAATAAGTTTTACACCACCCACGCTATCCTCCCCACCCTCTCGCAGGTGGTGGTGGTGGTCGTGGCAGGCATGGAGAACCCCCCGACGCCCCCGATGACGCTGACCCCAACGCCAGCCCCCTGGGGATCGGGAGGAGGCGCCGATCAGTCAGGATCGTATTTACAGTCAATCCTCAATAGCATAAAAACGGCCAGAAAAGTAACAACTGCTAATAGTAACTCCACCGAAGCTAAGACAAGAAGATCGTTTTCTTCTTCAAATTCAAAATTAACTTCGTTAATGCAGATATTGTCTTGGTAGCAGGTGAGGATTTTTGTCGATTTGAGCATGAGGATGGCAAGGAAGGAGCAAGCGGTGGCCCACAGAATCGTCAAAGGGATGGCGATTTTGACAGAAGGGCCGAGGAAGCGGAAGTGCGAGCCGGGCATGCACGACGAGGAGCGGTAGCCGCTGAAGCCCTTGGTGGTGTGGATACTAGCAGCTAGAACAACAATAATAATAAATAAATGATAAGTTAAAAACATGTGGAACATAAAAAAGGTCAAAATAGTACAGTGCCGGACAATAAATTTGGTCACCATAAATGTTCAAATGATCTAACATCCCTCTATTTTTGCTTGAATTTTATGGTTTTATGTTTAGACTTAGGTACCAGACTAGTTTAAGGCCCGAAACGTTAATTGCTTCTATTAGACCGTAAAATTTAAGCAAATTAAAGCAGGCTATATGTGAACTAACTTCACCTTTTAAGTCTTGTCATAAAATGTCAAATTGTTAAATTTGTCTACGTGACATCCCCTCTATTAAAGTATGTAAGTAACTGCAAGCATATTGATGACAGTTTAATGCCTAACCATGGTGACAGTATTATGACAATAAAAAATTCTGCACATCAATTATATTGATAATTTTTTTAAAGTGACAGATCAAATGATGGATCAAATTTATTGTCCGGCACTGTACCAATAATCATTTCCGCATTTGTAGTTGTAGGTAGGTACCAAACATTTTAAAAGTAAGTAAATCTTGAACTTTTAAAATTAAATTTAATTTAATTATTGAAATTCAATAAGCAGAGTCCTTTTAAAAACTTGTAATATTGTTAATAAATGTTTCAATAGTAAAGAAATTCATAATAACATAAATAACACCTTTATTTAGCATTTTAAGCAATTTATGTTTGTAATTTATTAATATTACTTAATGAATTTCGTGTTTATTTTATATTTTTTAAGTATTTTGTTTATTATTCATTTGTAACTGTAACATGTTGTTTCTAATTATATTATATCATTTTTATTAAATAAAATTTATGTCCTGCTTTTCATTTTTGTATGTTGTGTTGGAAATAATGTTGTTTTAGTAAGGAAAGTATTGTAATCGGCTGAAATTTAACCTACCCAGATTTTTACATTTCTGGACGAATTATAGTTTCAAGGCACCAAAAAAGTTGGTTTGGGTCATTGGGTCGTGTGTGTATCTGTGTGTGTGTGTGTCTGTCTGTCTGTAAACAGCATATATCGAGAACGATAAGAGCTAGAAACTTGAAATTTGGTATGTAAGTTACTTGTAGCAAGGGGACGTAGCACGAAACAATTGGTAAAAATCGGTTTCATCGTTTGGCCGCAAAGACCAAAAATCAAAATTATACGGTTAAAGATATTATAAATAAATTCATGGAGATAAAATTATTTAGAATCATGAAATATACCTTGTTAAACAGTAAAATGTGATAAAATAAAAATAATTATGGGTACCGAGCTAAAAAAAAAATTGCACCCCAGACTCGAAACCGCGGCAACAAAGATCTATTTTGTGTGTAATCCGGCACTAACGCAAACGTTCGGTTTGCTACTCCCATTTCCACCGTAAAGATGTTTTCCAAATAAGTTGGATAAGGAAAGTCGTGTGATGTTCACACCAGAGTTTTTGTGATAAGTATTAATAACAGTTCGTATGGCAACACTGAGTACAGTGCCGAACAATAAATTTGGCCCACCACAAATGTCCAAATAACACAATCCGTCTATTTTTGCTTCAATTTTATGGGTTCGAGTTTTGACTTTGACTTACCAGACTAGTTTATGATGAATTTAATGAGGGTGGTTGTAAAGCTATTGTTACCAAAGTGACGAGCTGGCCGTTGAAACAAACTCAAAAAAACAAACCTTCACAATTGAAGGGTAAAGAAATTTTACTTTACCGCTAAAGGACCAAAAAGTTAATTGCTTGCAAATTTATTGTCTTGCATTGTACCAATGATCATTTCCGCAACTGGAGTTGTAGGTACAGTGATGGACAGTGAATTTCGTCCACCCAATTTCCCTGACAGATTAAAAGTGTAAATTATTCTTTAGGTTTTTCTTAACCTTATTTTAGAATTTTGATTAACGTTCTTCTTGCTACTTTTTACCTTTGTCCTTTGAAATGGTAGTCCTTGGGTATGCCCAAAAGTATAGAGGCACATCTTTGAGGCATACCTTCTTATACCAGAGAGATAGTTTTTATTTTATTAAACGCACTTACTGCTGGCATGTTCGTATTTGATTAAATTTCACAATACGTATTTGAATGTTAGTTATAGTCGTCACCAGGAATATTTGGGATTGACGTATGCAAAGCTTTATTGAGGGTTAAGCAGCTTTGTGGTCGACCGTAATAATTTTTCACTGCGTGTGGTACTACCCAGAAGATGTAGAAAAGAGCCGTATTCAGGAATTTTTATGGTGGGCTTTTAATTTATTACAGGCAAACATTTGGGAATTAATATATTAATTTAATATTAAAGTCATAATGCAGATTTGTAAAAAAACAATCTCAAAATATAACTGAATATTAAAATTAATTTAATTTTTTTTTGATGAAAGCCCAAAAACAAATTTCTGTTACGGACCATCTCTTCCTACAAACCTTTGAAACGTGCCTGTCTTAAGAAATGCAAATTTGTTTATGGCATCTCTACCGCAAGGCCCATGAACCACCTTGGGGGGTAAGCGGCTTATTCTATAATGAGTCTCAAATATTGTTGGTGACGACTATATCATGACAATAAAGCACAGACTACAGTGAATTTTTGTGAAGTCACAGAAATTGGGTGGACGAAATTCACTGTCTATCACTGTACCAAACAATTTAAAAGTAACTAAATCTTGAACTTTTAAAATTAAATTCAAATTTAATTATTGAGATTCAATAAGCAGTCCTTTTAAAAACTTGTAATATTGTTAATAAATGTCTCAATAATAAAGAAATTCATAATAACATAAATAACATTTTTGTTTAGCATTTTAAGCAATTTATGTTATTAAGTTATTAATATTACTTCATGAATTTCGTGTTTATCTTATATTTTTAATGTATTTTGTTAATTATTTGTCTTTGTTTATAATTATATTATTCTTATTAAATAAAATTTATGTCCTGTTTTTCATTTTTGTATATAGTGTTGTAAATGTTTTTTTTTGCCGGGTGAAATAATAGTACCTAATATTTAATAGTCATAATTTTGTTATAATGTTGGCAAAATTGGTTTAACTGGTACATAATAGCAAAGTTTGCAGTGCAAGCAAACTCTACTTTCAGTGCATTATTAGCTCCAACTTTGGATGATACAATTATGTTAGAAGTTTGGCCATTTGTTGGCTTATGTTCGCTTAGCGAATATTACATTATTTATGGATTGGACAAGAAATCAATGAAATTACCAATTAGAAACGCTGAAAGCTCGACTTATGAATTAATAAATACCTAGGAGAAATGATAAAATATGAAAAGGTTTTACACATGACCCGACCTAAAATATTGAACCTAGAAATAGACCGAATACACCCGCAGCATTTTAATCTCCCACTTGAGCAAATTTCATATTTCCATACGGGTTCTATATTCCAGCAAGACATAACCAATTACTCCTTGATTCATTTTAAATTTATACGACACGAACTTTCCCAACTTCGGGATTAAGCGCAAATAAACGACTGGGATTTTAAACAAATTAGTAGTTCGGACTTTTATCCGTTGATTCGATTAAGTCGAGGTCGAAAGTCGTGTGAATTACAAATCGGAACGGACGGGAAAATAAACCAGAAAAAGGGAAGATAGCAGCGAGAGGCCTTATTTCATTATAATAAGAACATTAGAGAGTGGTCATAAATTGGTGGAGATAGGGAGAAATTGCGCAGGTTGCTGGGGGACGAAAAGTAGGATTTATTGGACTAAAAAGATTTTTTTTCGAAATATGCACTGCCGTGGCGCGAACCATGTAATTTCACAAAATATTTGCTTGTGTCAATGTTTATGTATCCTATTTTTATTATTTATTTAATCACTAGTAATATGTCGATTTCTAAATTTTTGGAGGTTGGGAAATATGTCGTTGCACCTCTTGGTCGGGAAATGATTTATGTAAGATGACCAAGGTTACAAACCCACCAAATATGAGAAACAACATTTGTTTGAATGTGAAAAAAAAATGATAAGACAAAATAAATATTGAAGAAAATTTCACTGGTCAACAGTTTTGAACAAATTTCCGGTAACATTGATAAACTACCTTCCACGTTTATGATTTTTCACTCTGATTTCGAAAATTTTCACCAAAATGTCTCATCACGTATCATTCCTATGTTACTAACTTCGTTCTGACACCCATATTAAAGCAAACGAGTACTGAAAATAAAACTAAACTAAACTATTTAATTTATTTAATTATAAGCATACAATATTTTAATAAACTTTATAAACTTTATACTTTATAAACTTTGTAAACATTAAAAAAGTCATATATTACGATAAAAGAGTGAAAGGTCAACATTTTCTTTTGTATTATTAATTGTCATCAATGTTACCGAACCCTTGTTGACCTGTGTTTTTAGCAAAAATCAGTTCAAATGTAAATTAAAAACAATTATGTATGTTGTAGGTACTAGAAAAAAATTGTGGTGTATTATACATATTTCAATATTTTTTTAATTCTCACCTTTATTTGTTACAGAATTTGTATTACGTATTTCCCTCTTCCTTTTAATTATTTTTATAAGTCTGGTTTTTTTGTTCATCCCAAATATCAAGTGTAGTGTAATTTGGAAGTAAAGGGATTGTCAAATTTAATTTTAACTTAAATTTAAATATCTAAAATTTCGAGAAATTTGATTTTTCAAGTTCATTCTAAAAACCTTCAATTTTTCGAAAACATTGTGGGATCTGCTGAAATCTTTATTAATCGTACTAAAAATCTGGCGTAATTGCAAAATTTAAAATTTTAAAATCAATAATACAGCGTGCGCCAGAATTCGCGCCCCAGAGAAAAATGCCATATAAAATAAGACTCCATCAACATGGAAAAAATGTTTAAAAAATTCTATCTGTTGAATTTTTTTTGCCAATAACAGCCACAAATAACATTAAACAGAGTTACAATTTAGGATACAGCTTCCTTGTTTTTTCTTCTATTAGCCTGTGGCAAAAAAACTTATTAAAAATTATTTTTCCAAGAGAAATAAATAAAGTCAAAATGCAAAATTTAACTTCGAAATATTTATAGATAGAATTTTTTTAACATTTTTTTTATGTTGCTGGTATCTTACCTTACATGGCATTTTTCTCTGAGGCACGAGTTCTGGCGTATCCTGTATTTAACTATAAATAAGTTTTTGTGTCTGTATAAGATAAATTAGGATATTCTGAGCATTTTTTTAGTTTTGAAAATACGTAATTGCATCAGAAAAATTAAATAAGTATCACAAGTATAAAGTAAGTGGTAAACTTTAGAAAATTAGATAAAATTAAAATAAAATCATAAAATAATATGTGAAAACTTTGCTTGTAAAGTAAATTCTTGTTTACGTAATAGCTTTTCAATTGGCTATTATTTTCAGATTTGGTTTCAATTAGACTGTGCATGGATTTAGCTTTAAAAGGTTTTTAGAGAAAAATTATGTACTATAAAATTTGATCAAAATTTAAATTAAGCAGCTTTTAGCTTATTGCTGAGAAAAACGTGTGTTTTTAATTTTTTTTCACATTGCCAATATTTATTTAACTGCAGAATTTCACGTTTCCCCTCTTGAATATTGTGACAAAAAAGTCTGTTGGCAACACTAAATTATTGGTAATCCTTCTAATTTGTTATATCAGAATGTTTCATGTGACGGCTAAATCTGCAGTCACCCGTCGCAAATCCTAAAAAGTTTGACGTTTGAATTTGAAATTCAAGATTGCCAAACTAAAATTTTAAATTTGACACCAACAGTCAGCCGACATTTCGGTGTACTGTATTGATTTTAGTGAAAATGTATAAAATTTACTATTGTATTATTAATTTGATTATTATCTTTACGCATTTGCATTGAAATGTTTGTGCAAAGCTGTCGGGCGTTATTAATCCAACAGTTTGTGAAAAAAAATTCTAATTATTTTTGACACACATTTCGATTCTCCTCTTCACGTCCTCACTAACTTATTTTCCAGTTGAGAGAATTTCATCAAACGACTGCTCGCTGTCTTAATTAAGTTCCAACAAGAATATGTACATCAGCAATTGAATGTTTATAAACCACGAGACACAATAATGAATTTTAAACAAAGATTTTGATCCGTGCATCATCATAAAAAACCTTAATTACAAGCTGTATTTCATATCGCGTCACGAAACAATTAACTTATAAATCTTAATGTTTTGCCAACACTCCATTAAGCGGAGCTATTAATTTAACTAGCAGTTTAATGAGTTCAAAGTTAACAAGACTTCGAACAGAGGAAAAGTTTGTTTATGTTGTTATTTAAGATCGTGATTTAGGCCGAAAAGATACAATTAGAAATTCAAGGAGATTTGAATTTCAATAGGTGACATCAGTGGGAGCTTTGTATTTATTTGTTGCCATCGAAAAATGTATACTTTGTAAGAAGACTGGGCTTTATTTTGTAGAAGCGAACGTGACTTTTTTGTGGAAAAATTCAATTGTTTAGTAAATGTACTGAGAGACTTTTTAGAAATGCGCCACACCGATGTGGTTGTATAAAAAAATGCTAAAATTGGGAACAGAAAAATTAAATCAAATAAATAAAAAAACAAGATTTTAGTTTTTTTTAGGATTTGAAAATTTGTTATTTTACCTTTTTAAGAACCCAACTTTAGATCTTATTTTTTAAATAATTTAAAAGTTCAAATTTTATTTAATTATACAGGGTGTAACAAAAGGATGAAAGAGTAACCTGAGATTTTTCCAGGTCATAATAAAGCGATTGATTTAACTCAACTTACCTCTAAACTAAGTTGCACCCTTTAAAAGTTAGAGGACGCCCATGAAATTGTGATTTTTTTGTTTAAATTAATAATTAATTACATTATTGTTAACTAACACAAACATACATAAAGACACTAAAACCTAAAAAAAAATTAATACAATTTTAAAACAATAATAAATGGCCAACGTCCAAAATTTTAACACATCTACTTAAATTATTTTTTTACTCTAAAATCAAAGCAGTGTTTTTTTTTATAAAATACAAAAATTGTTTAAAAACAACGTATCTTGCGAATAAAAGAAGAATAAAAGAAGAATTACTCCACTCGGATTACGTATAACAAAAATATGGCTTAAAATGTGTTAAGTTGTTAATAAGTAAGTCTTTTACAATAAAAATTAAATAAAAGAAATAGAAATATTAAACTCTCTGTACCAAATTTTATAAAAATCGATTAATCCATTAAAAAGTTATTAATGAAAAACAAAAATAATTTTTAAAATTTAACACCTTCTAACTTTTAAACGGTGCAACTTGGTATAAAGGTAATTTGGGTTAAATTGCTTTATTTTGATTTAGGGATTTTTAAGTTATTCTTTTTCCCCATCTTTGTTACAATTTTTATTTAAAAACCTACATTATTCATACGAGTAAAATTTTACAATCTAATTTTAAGATCGTTAAATAGAGTTCGGAAAAAACGTTGAAAGATTTTGTGGGGTTACTCTACTGATTAAAATAAGTTTCTATAAACCTATATCGAGAAATGCTTCCTATAAAACTCAAAATATTACATAATTATTATTTACAGTTTTTTCAGAGGCTACCCAAAAATTGTCAGTTTTTTTTAAAACAGAATATTTTTCAAAATTTTGATTGTTTTATTAAGATATTGTAGATACTTTGAAAAGATTCAAGAATTCGATATGACGTTATTATTTCTAAACATTTTGTTTTGAAGGTTTTCAGGAACCGTACTTTTCAGTTTAAGATTTCGAAATGTTATCTTAAGATTTTAGCTTTTTATTAAGATCGTTTCACAAACTGTTTAATTCAATAATCGAATGCAATTAATTGATCCTTTCACAGTCGCAACGAGTAAAACATTTTATCAGTCACGAGAATTAATTGAAATGTCAATAAAACGGCTTTTATTTGGCTTTGATTAAAATTGAATTTAACATTACTTTCATAGAAAATAGAAGAATTTTTTAATTAAATTTACTGATGTGTAGTACAAATTATTTTTCATACAGTTTTCGCTTGCAGCAGCATTAAATCATTAACTCTTCCATTTCGAGCTTCTCCCTCTCTATTGAATTATGTTTACCGTGAAAAAAAAAGTAAAAGCAGAAGATTTTTTTCATTTTCTTTCGCTTACTCGTTTCAAAAGCTCGCTTTTGTTCGTTTCTAAAGATAACAATCTTTCGTTTGTTTCTCACAAAAGACTTCGATAAATTATTGAAAAAAGCAAGGTTTACCTACCTGCAGCTAGTATCGTCGCTCCTCCTGCGGGAATCCCCAATCCCAGATTCATCTTCCCTTTCTCTTCAATAAAAGCTACAGTTCCTATGACTAAAAACGAGATGCCACAGACGATCTACAAACGACAGGTTGTTAATTAGAGAGTCGGGGCTTGGAAAAATATTTGCATGTTTAATTACATCGGGGTGAATAAATAATCCTCTTGTGTTTAAGGGATTGTGGCCAGAAAAAAAATCGGTTTTTGTGTTCATTTTGAAGAGAAAAATTGAAATTATTTTTAGTTTTAGGTCGTAAATAAAGACATAAATAAACAGCTTTTGATATAATAATAATAGGTAGATGCTCAAGAGTTGATAAAATGTCATGTCGTAAAAACGTCAATATTGCGCTCAAAGTCGTGATTGTGGAAAAATATTTGAACGGAACAAGTGTTTTAATTACGATTTCTGCAAATTACAATTACAATTTAATTGATAATTCATTTGGTTTATTTTGTTACGATTAGAAATATTTTTTTAAGAAATGAAGTTTGCAGATAAACTCGTATACGCAGGATTTTTCAGCATTTGTGCATTTGTTGTTCTATGGTATTCGTTTCGTAAAGTTTTTTTTTTAATTAAAACATGTTTTAGCTTAATAAATTTTGGTCAATAAGAAAAAAAAACTGTTTGTTCTCACATTAGTGGTAATTACGTGAATGCAAAATGATTATTATTAGCTCTTGTAGTCGGACAAATATATTAAAAATATGTCCAACCAATCGAATTCAAGATTATGCAAAAACCCATCCGATTAGCTATAAAAATTAAGTTCAAATTTGCTTTGAAAAAGAGTAAAAAATAATGAATTTAAATTGATTTTTCCAAGAAAAGATAAGGGACAATTTCCTCAATTTTTTTCTCGGTGGGCTTAAAAAAACGCATATTAAAATTTTCATATGTCTTTAAAAAATAATAAACTTAATTTTGTTTGCTCAATTAATTTTGAACATATTTTTTTCCAGATTAGTACCGAAAAATGATCGGGCAAATCCTCTCGAATTCACAAAACTTATGCACTTTTAGGTCTGTTTTCTCAATAAAACTCTACTCCTTTGTAGAATTGTGATTGAATTCTTGTTTTTTACTTTCACTCAATCTCTTTTTGTTCTCTACTTTTAGTGCTTTTAAATTTTCCAACAGGAAAAAAAAACAATTACAATTGTGCGACAAAGATTGTTAAATAACGTTTTACACGTATGAAAGCGTTCAAGCATATCCGTTTTAGTAAGGATATACAGGGTGTTTACGGTCTTGAGGTTGAAATTTAAGTGAGATGATATTTACGGTAGAAGAAAACTAATAAGTACGCTATATAAAACAAAAATTTACATTGTGAAAGGAAATAATTCATTTTATATTATTTGTTTGAAAACTGCTGCTTCGGCTGCAACAATGGCCATTAGTATCATTACGTTGTGTTTCACTGTAAATCATAATCACGACAACCAATTTATTATTTAATATTTTTTGCCGTCCATGTTCATAAATGTGGAAAAAAATTAAGAAAAACGAATCAAAACTATTGGAAACCAGTTTACTAGAAGAGATTAAACAGAAGATCATCGAATTTTGACAAAAACTAAAGCAAAAGCAAATCAAATGATGACAGTGTCAAAACTATGAAGTGCCTTCTCTCTTTCATTATCATGGATACGATTTTTTTATTTGTTACAACAATACAATTTTATCTGAACAAGGAAATAATTCCAGTGACCCTCAAACCGTGTACCAATATTTTGGAGTTAAATAACTTTCGTAATAATAACAATTGTGTGAGTTTTTTTCTCGTTGACAGTGTTTCTGTACTCTTTTATTACTAGGTCAATTTTCAACTCCAAGATCGTAAACACCCAGTATATACAGACTGTTCCATCTGAACCCCACATTAAAAGTATTGGTAGTTCTAATAATCGTATTTATTTGAAAATTGGTACATAGCCATAATCCCATTAGGTCCTCCGAAATGAAAATATTTTTAAGCTGGCGGCACTTTCGGGTATACTGGAAGTCGGTCTCAACTTTCTTATTTTAAATGGAAAGCTATATTTTTCACTGCGTTTTTGGATTAATCGGGTTATTTTAAGGGAGCTTTCATCAGCTTTCCCTATACCTAAATTTAGCCGTTTTTGAAATATTTGAAGTTTTACAATAATTTTTGGATCTACACCTTTCACTTCAAAAATCGGTAACTCTGCCATTTTTAAAATTTTGAATTTGCTTTTTTTGAGTTTGAAAGAGAAAGTTTAGATCTTGCTTCTGGTGTTTTCAAATTGTGAAAAAAATAACAAACCCCAAAATTTTAAGGCTACATATATGTTCTTATATGTCATAAGGTTTCTTATATATTCTGCTCATAATTTTGATTCACTCTCCATAAATACAAAATAAATTCATTAAAACTAAGTTTGAGTAGCTTTAATTTATAATATTTGGGCACTATTTATCAAATAATAATTTACTGTCCACGTTTATTGAGAAACAATTTTGACATTTTTTATTTCCATAGCAAACTATGCTAAAACGGGTGTGACTAGTACATGATAGATTTTTGGAAGTCTTAACAAAAAGTCACCATATCTTGAAAATTATTAAATTTAGATCTTGGGAATGTTAATACAGATCGATGCAGAATCAAATTCTTTTCTATTTAGTGAAATAAAAATTGGAGTAATTTATTTCGGAAAATTGAGTTATGGCTATTTGAATTATTACAAAAGTAACCTTAAAATTTTGGAGTTTGTTAATATTTTTTTCAAAATTTGAAAACACCTAAACGAAAATCTAAGTTTTCTTTTTCAAACACCAAAAAAACGAATTCAAAATTTTAAAAAGTGGCAGAGTTACCGATTTTTAAAGTGGAAGGTGCAGATCCAAAATGTTTTAAAAAACTCCAAATATTTCAAAAACGGCTAAATTTAGAGATAGAGAAAGCTGATGAAAACTCCCTTAAAATATCTCGATTAATCCAAAAACGCAGTAAAATATACGAGTGCCAGAACTCGCGCCCCAGAGAAAATTTTCAAGTAAGGTAAGATACCAGGAACATGAAAAAAATGTTTGAAAAATCCTATCTGTCAAAATTTTTTTTAGTTTTTGACATTTGACATTTTTTATATCTATTTAAGGATACTGATGATCTTCGATCTTGTCTATGTTTTTGTACAATTATTTAGTAAAGGGACAAAAATTTTGGCACTAAAAGCCACAAATAACATTGAACAGAGTTACAATTTAGAATACAGCTTCCTTGTTTCCTCTTTTAATAGCCTATAGCAAAAAAACTTGGAAAAATATTTTTCCAACAGAAATAAATAGAGTCAAAGTGCAAACTTTAAACCCTCATAACTACGAAATTTTTATAGATAACATTTTTTTAACATTTTTTTCGTTCCTGGTATCTTATCTTATATGGCATTTTTCTCTGGGGCGCACCCTGTATGGCTTTCCATTTAAAATAAGAAAGTTGAGACTGACTTGCGGTATAACCGGAAGTGCCACCATCTTGAAAATATTTTCATTTAGCAGGACTTATGGCTATGTAGCAATTTGCAAATAGGTAAATACGATTATTCGAACTCCCAATAGTTGTAATGTGGGGTTTAGACGAAACATCCTGTATTATGTTATTATATACAAGAAAGTTACTAAATACATAATATGACAAAATCTTGAATAACTTTAAAATGTTTTTGATGACATTTTTATACTTGTGTTGATTTAAAAAAAAAACACAATATTTGCAGTTATTTCTTAAGGTTAATGTCAGGACTTTGAAATGAGAACAATTTACAATGATTTTGATCTAACTGTAATTTTATATACATCCAACAACCAAACCGTTGTTGTTTGTTATATTTTTACTTTGATTCAATAAAATCTAAAAAACACTCAATTTTGCCGTTTCTCCTTTATATTTTCCCTCAAATCCCACAACATAAAATACACCCAACCTGTAATACTCTTAAGCGAAAAACCATCGCAAACGGATAATATTCTAAGGACGAACGTGTGTCTGGCGTTTTATCTGCTTCTGAAGGAGCGACCGATTCCTTCAATCTTGAAAGTCCCACCTGAAACAAATCAGAATTTAATAAAAAAAACATAAATTAGTCTTGAAGCAAAAACGCAATTAACAGCAACCCTCCTGAATTAATTCAATTGCCGTTTTTTTAAATCTAATACTGGGAGAAAAATTAGCAGAGTTGAAAGGTTTTCAGTGTTGGGGCGGATTGCTTCCTTCGAGGATTGTTTTTTTTTCCACAATCATCTCAGCGTCAGCGGAATATTAAATTCGGGTCAATGTTTGTTAAATGGAGGAAGATTAGTTTGTCACTTTTGGCTTTCCATCGATTGAAATTTCAACAAAAACTTTACAACTAGAGAAAGCTGAATTTTCCGAGTGTGTAAAGTGTTGATTAAGTTATGGAAAGTCGTACTTTACGTACAAGTTTTTGTAAGATTCCTCCAACAAATTTGATTCATCTCTGATTTTCGTAATGTCAGCAGTAAACTTTGAAGATAAAATTAAGCCATCCATGTTATAATGGGCAATCTGCTCTTCGTGTAATTGTATTTTCTGCAAACGATATTATTTGAGTCTGCGTTTTCTGTCCTAATTTTGTAATTTTGTAGTTGTTTTCTCGTAAAATGGAACTTAAGAAACGATTATCTTTTCTGTCGCAGAAATATAAATTAAACGTCAAAATGGCTTTTGTTGTTTCGAACATTTTCACAATTTCAAACAATTAAAAATATTCTTATGAGTGACAAAATGTATTTTATTGGATCATAAGACATTCCCGTTTCTTGTCCATTGGCCCCCAAAATGATAAAAGCAAACGGAAATAAAGCACAAAACAACTAAATTAGAAACCGTTCTCTTGTTCGAAAAGATACATTTCCGATACGTCGTTGAAGCTTTGTTTTCCAGCTTCTTTCAAGTATGTCATTTACTTTTATCTCTCTTCGATTTTTAATTCAGTTTTATTGTGCTTTCAGTGTGTCAAAACTGAGATTTCAATCAAATAGACTGGAAATTTTCAATTATTTGTAGGCTTTGGCCGGATGTGTTTTAATAATGAAAATTTTCTATTGTTTTGCTTTTCAATGTGAAAAATATTAAAGCGAGGTTTCATATGTTTACAAACGCTTCGCAGGTCAAAATTTCAATCAAAATCGATATTGTTGAATTTTTATAATAATTAGTCGAAGAATATTTAAAGTATTGTTAATTTATATGATTGTTAAGAGTTTTTTAAGATTAAATAGTTTTGGTTCTAAAAGAAATATATCTTTCCACTGAAAATTTACATGTTATGTAATTAAAAATAGCTATTTGTATTACAAGAGAGGAAAGTTTAAGGTGGAAAATAATTGATGACTTTTCTTTCTAAAATTGAGTTGGACAAACTTCTGTTAGGGTCGTAGGAAACATGTTTAATTTTTTTCAAGCAAATTATATATTCCACCCTTTTTGTTTATTATTCATCGATTTGAAAAGTAAATTTCCAAATACATATTCGAGCCTAGAGCAATCGTTTTTGTCCAAATAAACCACTCAAAGCATCAAAAATCTGATTAAACCTCCTATTCTCATGTTCGTATATCTCCTATCAAATTTATTCAATACAAAGAATTAGATTAGTTTTGTTAGAAAATCCTTTTTGGATATCTCATGCATGTTTAATAAGAACTGTTATGGACTTGTTTCGAATATTTTATAAAGACATGGAAAATCTATTTACCAACGACTAACAAGATGCTTTTATGACAGGTGATAAAATATTGTCACAAAAGCGTTCAAAATTTACAAAATATGGGGTAAGTAAGAAAATTAAAATAGAAATTCATTAAACTGTTTGGTTTTAAAGCAATAAAGAGTCGTGTTTTGACAACTGGATTGACAAACTCTTGATTTGTCTTTTGGGATGTCTTGAAATTTGCTGTTGTTGCCTTTTCGCCTCTTTGTAAATAATGAAATAAAATCTGTTTTCGCTTTTGTCGTATTACTTTGTTTTGTTTAATGGTTAACCAGATTTTTAACTTGATCTAATTTTAATTGTAACATAACACGAATAATAAGAGTCGGTTCCACAATTAGAATCTTTAGTGTCAAAATTTAATTAGTGCACCTTCAAAGTGGCACTCTAATGAAGTGTCTGGGCACCGCAACACGAAACTGATCGATACCTCTTTGAACAATTCTTGTAAACAGGGTTTACAAATTCGCAAACTTCACCCCAAATTAAACAAAAACCGAGTAATTTATTAAATAATAAACCACCTGTCCAGTACTGTATTTCTTACGAATGCAGCACGGAAGGAAATTAATTATTATTTCTCTCAATTCCACATACTCTGTGATCTAATTAGGAGATAGCACAACCGTGACCCTCCCTAGAATCATCTAATCAACTGATAGTCAACAATTAGCAAAGAACATTTCTACTGAAATAGTAATACGATAAATGGAATTAAGTTTACGTTGCAAACTGTTATTCATACTTCCTAAATGTTAAAAAGCGACTCATTTAATTAGTTAAGATTAAACTTAATACTTAAGGAGTTCAAAAATTTACTATTATTTTTGTTCTTTTTTTGGAGTAGTTGCAAAATCTTAAAAACGAAGGTTGTTGAAGTTCTTTATTTGTATACAATGTTCCGCAAAGTACATTTTTTTAAATACATATTTTTATATTAAAAACAGTTTTGCACATACTTATAATATGTATAAACAACGTTTTTTTCAATATTTTATTTAATTATTTAAAATACTTCAACATTTAGTTGACATATTTTGTCAGTGTGTGAAATGCTGGAAATTTAACGCGCAAAAAAATGGCGTATTTCGCGTATTGATTTCGTTGTGTGAAGTTCAATTTCACACATGATTGCCACTGCTACTGTATTGTATCTTATTTTAAAACACAACTTTTTTAAACTGTAAACAAATTTAATTTTGAAATTTTGACCTTTAATTTTAATTCCTGAATTTTCATATTTTTTACCAAGATTTTACTTTTTCTTAGGATTATTAATTATTATAACATAACACTTTTAGGAAATTTTTATAACTTTTTTCTCAA